TGACTAGCTGGTAGGGGCAGGCTTTGCGCGCTTGCTTGCTTGCCGACTGGATGGTATATGTTGACTGGCCTTCTGGCTCGACGGCTACCGCTGGTTTCGCTGAGTGGCCACCGGGGAAGAGCAGGCCCGCGGCACCGAGCGCGCGCGCACCACAAGACGGCCCATAAGCCCCCAAGAGGGCCCCAAGACGCCCCAAGAGGGCCCCTAGACAGACGGCCCCAGGGGCTCCCAGGACGGCCCAAGAGAGCTACAATACGGCCCTAAGAGGGACCCAAGAGGAGGAATACGCACGGACATTTCGAGCATTTTTTTCCTCTAGATGACCCCAAGAGCCGCCCGAGAGGCCCCCGAGAGGCCCCAAGAGGCCCCCAAGAAACTCCACAGAAGCCCCCAAGAGGCCCCCAAGAGGTCCCCAAGAGGCCCCAAAGCGCGCTCCATATGCCCCCAAGAGCCTTCCAAAAAGCCCCTGAGAGGCATCCCGAGAGCCCCTCATATTCATCCAAGAAGCTCCTGACCCACTAGATAACTTCCACGATCGTCTCAAACTCTCACTCCTTCTGGGGGCCGGCGGAATGGCGTAGGCCACTTGAGTAAAATTACGTTTGGATTGAAAGGTAACTAAACCTCGCCACGTGCAATCGGGGCGGCTTCCCCAGGAACGCCGACCATGCGATCACATGGCCGTCGGCCTCGCCGCCGCCAGGCCAGGGGGGGACTTTTGTCTCGCGGGCTCGAAGCTCTCCCGCCGAACAATCTGCTTAGACAAACCAAGTGCGCTCAAGCCCATGAAAATTGCAGCGCAGCGCTGCATTCACCCGCGTCACGCAAGGCCGCCGCGATGCCCTATCATCGCAGACTGCGCCTTACCTGAGGCCCGCGCAATTTCTCACGGCAGCCTTCGGCGCCTCAGTCCTGGTTGCTCAGCAAACCTGGGTCGTCGAAGAGGTCGGCGGCAGTGCGCTGGGCTGCGGCCGTGGCCTCCGCGGCCTCCGCCGCCCCTTGAGACTCCGGCGCCGCGGCCCCCTCCGGTGCGCCCTTGCCCAGGCTGTCCTTGAGGCCGCCCTTGCTCTCCAGGGATACATGCTCCGGGCTGTAGTCGTGCTTGGTGTCTTTTGCGCTTCCGTTTAGCAGCATGACCTTCACCTTCCTCGTGGCGACTCCCGGGTGCGACACCACCTTGCCCCGGACCCCGTCGCACTTGTCCTTGTACCTGGCGGACTTCCCGGCCGGGGCCGATGCCGGTTCCTTCCCCGCCTCCCCGCCGCCAGCGGCACCTTCGCTCGCCTTGACCTCGGGCTCGGCCAGGCCGACCCCGGGCGCCGCGGACTCTGCCTTGGCAGCAGTCGCCTTCGCATGGCGATCGCGGAGCACGCTGCCCGTGCGGCTGGGCAAGTCGCCGTCCGGCACCTTCGCCCAGATCGGCGCGATGACTGCTGCTGCTGCCGAACGGACCGCGTCGTCCATGACCGGGGAGTTCAGCTTGCCGCCATTCTCCTGCGTCGCCGCCGAGCCCTTCTCGCCGTTGAGCTTCATCGCGCACGCCTCCGACATGAGGTCCTTGGGCAGCGCGGCGTCCGACCCCCCCTTCTGCAACTTGGAATATGCGATGATGAGCGTCTTTGCCACGGGGTGCAGCGCCTCCACCAACGCCTCCACGTCGACCACCGACTTGGAGATCTCCGCGGCGAGAGCGACCATGCCCTCCGAGCCCAGCGTCCGCGGCGACCCCTTCATTGCGCAGTGCTGCAGCCCCAGAAAGGGAGAATCGGAATCCCACGCCGCGAAGCTGTCCCACACCGCGCCCTGGTCCTTGGCCTTCACCGCGTACAGCAATTTGGCATGCAGGGGCATCTTGGGGTTCGTCCACGTCCGCCCGAAGGCCACCAAATCCTGCTCCGTCTTCGTCAGCTCCTCCACGACGTTGCCGAGGGCGGAGAGACGCGCGAACTGCGCGCCGGTGTCTTTCAGCTCCAACACTGCCTCGATCTCGCGGGTAGCCCGGCGCCGCATGAATTGCTTGTACAGGGCGCCATCAACGTACTCGGTCTTCCTGTGCATGCCGAGCGCCCCGAAGTTCAACTCAGTGGACTTCGCGTAGTCCCAACTCTCGATGCTCTTGAGTAGTGCCAACTCATCAGGCAGAAACCGCACCTTCTTGACCGCGGTCTTCATCGTGTCGTAGTGGCGCAAGAGCGCGGGCAGGTCGTCCAAGCAGTGCGTATCCAAGATGCGCCTCGCCACGGCCTGCAAGAACATGACCGCTGCCTCAGGCTCCTCGCCATCATTCCACTTGGCCTGTTTCACGTGGTCGACGAACATGTTCAGGCAGTAGTCCACGGTCCACGGGGTCAACTTATCGGCGGCAACCATGTTCCCGGCCTTACAAGCTGCTTTCACTCGTGAAATGAGGTCGTACAAGCTGGTCTTCACCGCCGCGGGCCCTTCCTCTGACGGGTGCTCCGCGAGCTCGCGGCGAGCCGCCTTCGGCGGAGGGGCCCCCGACGCCTGCTCTGCGGCAAGCCGCTTGTCGCCGCTGCCACGGGCCGCCGGCTGGCGATTCGCCTCGTCGGGGGTTGCTTTGTGCTCCTCGGCGGCGGCGGCCGTGATCGCCAGCATGGGCCCGCCTGCGATCGCACGCCGCTGCGGTGCTTCACCTGGGGTCCAAGTTTCGTTCACGGACAATTCCACCGACTCGACGTCATCATACCCCAGACGGCGCCGCTCCACCCCGGAACTCAGGATCACGTGCGTGTTCAAGTTGATCCCCCCGGGGATCCTCAGGGACTCTGGCGGGCAGAAGGCTTCAGCCTCGATGTTCGCCAAGTTGCTGTTGGTCTTGGGGACGAGCCAGTACCACTTGGCACGCTTCGCCACCACGGTAACTTTCGACACCAGGTTCCCCAGGAGCTGCGGGGTTACCCTCGGTTTCACGTTCGGTTGGTTCGCTCGCTTCACCATGGACACAGCGACGTAGAGGCGGGCCATTTCGTCCACGGCCCTGGGCCATCCACCAGCGGGCGGCTTCAGCTTCCCAACATCAGTCTCCGCCGACAGCGCTTGCTCGGGGGTCACGGTGGCAAGCGCCTCCTGGACGTCGAGGGGGTCCACTTGGGGTGCGGTTGGCATTGCAGTTCTTTGGCGCCGCGAGCCTCTGTTACCGCACCGTGTGAAAGCAACGCCCTCTTGACTAGCAGGCTCGAGCCGAAAAATCATGATGATGATGATTGTAATGGTGACGGCTACGACGATACCAACGCAGCGGACCCCTAAGGCCCTGACCCCGAGACCGGTGAAGCGCTGAAGCAATTGAGGCCTCTATGAGACCTCTGAGACACCTGAGACCCTCTGAAGCCCCCGAGGCCGCAGACCCCTGAGACACTCGAGTCCCTCTGAGACCCTACGGCGCTGAAGCGCCCGAGCACATGAGGCCCTCAGACCCTGAGACCCACGAGGCCCTCAGACCCTGAAGCCCCCGAGACCCTGACACGCTGATGCCCTTGAGACCTCAATGAGACCCAATGAAACCCTTGAAACCCTCTGAGGCCCCCGAGACCGCTGAGGCCCCTGAGAAACTCGACAACCTCTGATACCCTTACGGCCCTGAGACCCCCGAGGCCACGAGGGTACCCTGAGACCCCGAGGCATTGAAACGCTGACGCCCTCTGAGGCCCCTGAGATCGCCGAGGCACCTGAGACACTCGATACCCTTTGAAACCCCGACGGCCCTGACACCCCTGAGGCCATGAGAATCTTAGACCCTGGTTCCCCCGAGACCCGTGAGACATTTGAGATCCAGAGGCCCTGTGTGATACCTCGCTCGCTTGCGGGCCTGTCTGCCTGGCGTGCCAGCTTACGCGTCCAGTGCCGTGGCGACGAGACCCCACCAGCGGCGACGAGGAGAGGGATGTGCACCCCACCCCACCCTCGGCCCGCCGCTCCGCGGCGAAACAGGCGGGGCCCGCCCTGCCACGCGCCCGCGACGACGACGACGACGACGACGACGACGACGACGACGACGACGACGACTCCGGCGGCGGCGGCGGCGGCGGCGGCGGCGGCGACGACGACGACGACGACGACGACGACGACGACGACGACGACGACGACCACGAGGACGACGACGACGACGACGACGACGACGACGACGACGACGGCGGCGGCGTCTGGTGGCGCCGGCGGCGGGGGCATCCTCGCTCTCTCTCGCTCCGCGGCGAAAGAGGCGGGGCCCGCCCTGCCACGCGCCCGCGACGACGCCGACGACGCCGGCGACCACGACGACGACGACGACGAGGACGACTCCAGCGGCGGCGGCGGCGACGACGACCACGACGACGACGGCGGTCACGACGACGACGAAGACGACGACGAAGACGAAGACGACGACGACGACGACGACGACGACGACGACGACGGCGGCGACGACGACGACGACGACGACGACGACGACGACGAGGACCGGCGCTTCGGTGTCCCCTCGAATCTCGGGCGGGCGGGGTTTCCCGCTCTTGGGGGCACGACCCGAACTCAGCCTCGTTACCATCATTCTGACATTCGAGAGAAGGGAGAAGAAAGGGAGGAAGGGAAGGGGGAGGGCGACCAAGATGGATGCAGAAGAACGAGGGTCGCCACTTTTCGAACGACAACTGGCGCACAGGGCTGGCAGAGATCTCCCGCGCGCCAGGACGGCCGGCATCCTCGTGAGGGTCGGTCAGAAACCCCCTCTGGTTGGGGTGCCCTCCCCCCCAGTAAAATTACGTTCCCACTGCAAAGTAATTATACTCTAGATTGGTCTGTTTTGCACGACGGGCGGCTCCAAGATGGCCCCGAGACGGCTCCAAGATATCTCCATTTTGATGTCAGTTCGTTCTCCCAAATGTCCCCGATCAAGACCTCTCCAGTCGGAGTCGTTTTGAGATGCGCAGGCTGGGTTCGCGCGGGGTTGGGCGGGGAGGAGCTGGCGCAAGGAGAGGGGGCGGTTGCGGAAGGACAGAGCATCGTTTTCAAGCGAGGGCCTCGGGGGCCCACGCCTCGATCCACGCGTCAGTGTCTGCGTCCCCAGTGCGGCCGCCGTGCCCCAAGGCGGCTAACTCATCGCGCAGTTTCCCCAGCTCCAAGTCGAAGACGCGCCGACGATACGCAGAACCCTCTGCGAATCCTCTCTGCCTGGCGCGCCAGAGCGCCCAGGCGCGCAAGACTGCGCGCGACCTCGACGGTCGGTCTCGAGGCTCGTGAAAATGCGCTGGCGTAACGGCCTTGGACATCTGTCTGGTGGGATCCCCTCGTATATTTTCGCCCATGAGCCCCTCGACGCACCACCTGGGCAGTGCTCTTATCTTGATATCTCCCCACTTTGGATTGTCGCTGAGAGTGAAGAACCCATTGGTCCAGATCACGAACGGGTGCCCCTCGACCCGCTCCCTCTCAGCATTCGCGTGCGCCTCGTCGTCGTCTTCGCCGCCCCCTGCCTCCTCTGCCTCCTCTGCGGCGCCCCCGGCGGCTTCCGCGATGTCAGCGCCCTCGGCCAGACTCCGCCCCTGGGTCGGCCTCGCTGGCGAGAGATTGAATGTCGGAGTCGTCCGAGGGGGCGCCTTCCACCTCGTCGGAGTCGGACGCCTCGGCGTCGGACTCGCGCCGGGCCTTCCGGGGGAGATCGTCCGCATCCACGAGGTAAGCCATCGGAAACCGAAAGCTCAACATCTTGCCTGGATACGAGCATTCCAAACGAGGCTCAAGCCGGTATACAGACACAAGATCGACGGCAGCTGACGGCACTCCGAAACGCACGCAGAACTCGTCCACGTCCAGATATTGGTCGCACATGCTGGTCGTCAAGACCAACTCCCAAGTTCGACCCTCGGCATGAAGGGGTAGAACCAGAGAGCGCTTTCCTCTGGACACGTGGAACACTACCCATTTCGTCGCGCCCGCCTGGATACAGAAGAAGCCGGGCGCCCAGGCGCTGAGCAGATGTCGCCAGGCCACGGGGGGCTCATCGCTGACTGGCTGCAACCTGGCGCACGCAGGGTACTCCCTGTCGGGCGCGATTCTCTGGCTCGCCGAACTGCGAGCGGAGCCCGCTGTTGTCTGGAAGCGTCGATACGCTTCCTCGTTCTCTTTCAGCCAGGTCAACCACTCCCTGTTTGATGCAGGGAACTGCCCGTTGGTGCTCAATGGCCGAAGCGCGGTCTGCCGTCGCCGCTGCACCTCTGCCTCCAGCGCCGCTCGGTTCACGGCCATGTACGCCGCGAGCGCTTCCTCGTCCACGAACAGCGCGGGCGGCCGCTTCCCGCTCTCAGAAGGCACTGCAGTCACCAAGCCAGGGTTCCAACTCAGAGCCACGGCGCGAGGGTTCGTGCGCTGCTTGACCTGCTTCACAGGGCGCTCAGGGGCGCCCATCGCCCAGCCGGCCGATAGTTATGAGTCTGGACGCCTCGTTTCTCTTATCCGCTGCGTGCTTGCGCTCAACGCCCAGGCTGGTCATCAGCATGGCGCGGGCAATGGTCGCCACCTCCTCCTGCACGGCCGCGGACATCAGAAACGTGACGGCGTCGGCCTCGGACCCTCTGCTCTTCGCTTCTTTCTGCAGCCAAGAGCTGTATCCAATGTCAAGTTCCTCGGCCGGCGCCTCGAGGAAGTCGCCGCACGCCTGAGGCCACCCGTTCGGGTTGTACTCAGCAGATATACGCCATAATTTGCAGGGGTACTTCCCGAACTGCCCCAAACGCAGCAACACGTGCCCATGAGTGGTTAACAGCGACATGCACGCCCCTGCGGCAAGCAATTTGGGGTCGCCCCCCACGCGGCCAAGCAAATCCGACAGCAGTTTCCCCGCTTTCTGTTGAATTGCGCCTGACGAAAGGGACACCAGCACTGAGGTCTTGGCCCCCTTCTCCTGCGATACCATGTTCTGGCAATACAGACTAATGCGCAAACAGAGCACAGCGATTCTCAACTCACCCGCCGTCTCAGGCCGAGACCAGAAAGCCTTGACTGCAACCAAGCGTTTTCGTTGCTCTTTTCTTGGCTGAATAGTCTGAACCGTGAATGCCCCGGGAGGGATATTAAGCATATCAATCAAGAGTAATGTTTGCACGCGCCAACCAAAGGTCCAACATCTGCTTAAAGTTGGATGCTCTTCGACAACCGGGACCCTTTTCTGCAGGGCCTGCCAGAACTCGCCTCTCAATACTCTGATGTCGACAACGTCGGGGTCTGAGCAACAGTACGTCGGCCTATCCAGGGATAAGCAGTAGAACTTCAAGAGGCCCTTCGGCAATACCTCATCGCCGTAGAGAGAAACGAGACGACCCACTCGTTCGTCGCGGGCAGCCTGGGCGGGTGGATCCAAGCGCGCCTTCTGCAACTTTGCGGCCACAAACTCCCGGAATGATCGACAGAACTCCTCGTTATAGTCGCTCATGAGGTGTTTGAACAACCTCGAGCAAGTTGCGAGCAAAATGCTCGAGTTAATTGGATCCTTGAGGATCTTCCCACACAGCGCAATGGCCACGACGAGGTTGACCAGATGGGATGCACAAGGGATGACAATGAGGCGGTAGGTGATGTTGCATTCAGCCAACAAGCTGGCGTACAACCTTCTCGCTGCTGCGCCATTGGTGAAAATGGAATCGCCGGTCAGCATGTGCACGATCCTGAGAGAGCTCCCGCGCGGGCGTCCATCCAGGGCCGCTCGCGCCACTCGCATCACCACCGACCGCAGCGCATGCGCGATCGTCGCCGCGTCCTTCCGAAGAAGGGGCTGAAGCTCGCACCAAACGTCGATCTCCGCATCCCCGATGATGCACTTCACGACGTTGTTCTGTACTTTACTGCTGCGGCTCCTTGCAAGCTGCGGGCCATGGAACACAAACCGGTCGTCCTCCCTCTTGACGTAGGAGCGGATCCGCATGGAAGCCTCGTCGTGCACGTGCGGTAGGAACAGGGTTGCAGCGGGCGTTGCCGATGCTGCCTTCGTGACCTGTTGCATATTCATCTGCTTCACGATCTCTGCCATCGCATCGCGAATGCGACTGACAGAAGTGTAGCTGACAGAAGCGATACCATCCATGCTAAAATCCCTACACATGCGGGCGACACTGCGCAGGGATACGCTGGGAGGGGAAAAAGCTGCTCGGACCACCCACATGAAATTGATGAGACCACCAGAATGGGCGGCAAGTTCTTCCTGATACCGACGTTCGGAAAGTGCCCGTTGAACGCTCTGGTACCGAACTCTCTTGACAAGCCGATGCCGGTCATCGCGGGTCAATGCAAATGTCCTCTTCCCTCTCTGGGCCAGGTCAGACGCGCCCTCGGAATCCAGCGCGCGGATGACCGTGTCCACGGCAGCCGCGCTCGCAGGGAACGTGTCGGCAACGTTTGGAAGCCGACGGAATCGCTGCGCCGCATCCAGCAGGTCCTTCGCAGCGGCAGCTGCCATCGCCACCCCGGCGAAAGGCGGGCCGCGCGACTCGAGGCATCAAAATGGCAACGGAGGTAAGAGAAAGGAGGAAAGGGAGGGTTGAGGAAGCCCGCCCAAGCTCCAAACGGCCCTGATTCCTACGAGGGCGACGAGGTCCATTCATATCCGCTGCCTCAAGCCACGCCCATCCTGGGCCCACGATCGGCGCATATGCCTCCCCGGCCAAGCCAGGAAGGCGCGCGCGCCGCTCCTGGGCCCAGGATGGGCCTGGCCTGGGGCAGTGGATGCGCATAGTCCTCGCTGCCCGATCTGCGCCGCGACAACGTCAAAATCGTCTCCGCACCCGCATATGCGGAACAGGCGTATGAGACTTCGGGACCATAGACTCACCGTACGCCCCCCCCGTGCCGCGTTATCTTTCAGCCAATGGCACTGTATGCCTAGATTTAACCGGTTCTATGACTAAGATAAGGCCCAGGGATTAAACACTTAAATTCTCCTGTCCAGGCCCACTCGTGACGCGACTGTGACGCCTGAGGGGCCTTGGAAGGTTTAGTGAATTCGACGCCTGAAAGATCGAGCCTCGGCCATCGAGGCAGGATTTTGGCCGCCAACAGGATGACGGCTTTGGGCACACGAATCTCGCGCTCCACGCGAACCAATACTTCGAGAGAGGCCTGGGGGTGGACTCCCGCGCCGTGCTTCGCAGCACGGTCGGCGTGGGAAATGCCAGCCCTCCGCCAGGCCTCCTGCACAGAAATCTCATCCTCGTTTAACATTTTGTGCGCAGCGATTTTGACCAGGTCCTGGAGAAGGGGTCCCGCCCCAGAGAAAGCTTCAAGCACCGAGCCCGCGTAGGCCCGATGCCCCCCGAGGCGGCCCCGAAGGCCCCGGGAGCAAACCGCAACAACCGACGCGCAGTCGGAAAACAAAGAATACGGCCCATCCAAGTTGACACCAGCAGCGGCCAACGAGGAAAACTCACCTGCCGGGGACGACTGCGGCAAGTGACCCCGCGCGGGCCCAAAGACTCTGGCCAGCATGTGGCCTTGAGCAGACATCACAACAAAAGCCCAGCCCGCTCTGGACAGTTCTCGGATTTAGGCCTGGAAACAGCTACCATCCAGGAAAAGATTACCTTCACAGCGAACCTGCTCGGGCCCAGGAAACTCCGAACCCAAATCCAGGAACCCCTGCTCGAAGAACTCCACCTGAACTCCAACCATGCCCTGCTGACTGACAGGAGGCGGAACGTAGTCTCGTGGATGGGCGAAGGCCCCAGTCAAAAAGTTGACCAGGTCAGCTGAATTACTGTCGCACGCTTCTCGAGCCCAGGTAATCACCTCCATCCCCACCAGCTCGACCCTTTCATCCTGACATACCGTACACTCCCAACATCTACGATGCAGAGAACCCACCTTAGCATGACAGAGCGGGCAGCGGGCTGACTTGGTAGCCATATCTTAGCGCACGAGAGTCCCACCAGCCCTCTGGGCGTAGGTGGTTTAGGGAGTTTCCTTTTCCATCTTCCCTTCTTCCCCTTCGGGGAGGGGTTTACCCCTCCCCCTAGCCCCCTCCCCTGGACCTGGACGGGGGGTTCCGCTGGTAGTTGGAGCGTCCAAAACGGCCTCGGCGAGGAAGCCAAAATCATCGGTTCTACTATGGTTGTGGCCGATTTTAGAGGCTCCCGAGGGGGGACGCTAATTGGGGGACCCCCTTTCCTTTGATCGATCACCTCCAAGATGGCCCCAAGAGCGCTCCCAAGGCTCCCAAGAGCGCCCCAAGAGGGCCTCAAGAGGCGCCCAGGAGGCCCCAAGAGGTCCCCAAGAGGCCCTGAAGAGGCTCCCTAAGACCCCCAAGAGGCCTCAAGAGGATCCCCGAGGCATCCAAGAATCCCCCAGGCGCTCCAAGAGGACCCCAAAACAACTTCCAAGGGACATCCTAGGAGGCTCTTGTGCACGTCATTGTTCTTGTTCCTTCTCATCTTTCTCCTCCTCCTCCTCCTCCTCCTCCTCCTCCTTGTCGGCCTACTCCTCCCCCTTCTCCTCCACCTTATCCGCCTCCTCCTCCTCCTCCTCCTCCTTTCCTCTTCTCTTCCTCCCCCTCCTCATCCTCCTCCTCCTCCCCCTCCTCCTCATCATCCGCCTATTCCCCCTCCCCCCTCCTCCCACTTTTCCCACCTGCTGCCCCTCCTCCCCCTCCTCCTCATCCTCCTCCGACTCTTCCACCATCCTCGCCCTCTTGGGTAAGACGGGTCCCCCAGCCCTGTGCTACTCTGTATGCTCCCTCACTTCCCTGATCACCGCAATTCGCCTGGGCATCGTTTTTGGATGGGCTGGTGGGGATACGCGAAGCGTCAAGAATTGGTCCACAGGGAATTACGCGAGAGAGCTCGCACAGAGCCCTTCTCCCAGGCCGAGAGTTTGTTTCGAGCGGAGCCCAGCCACGACGACATCGAAGCAGAGACGATTCGATCCATCAAGGTCGGGGGGGATCCGATCGGGGGCCAACTCCACGGCAGGCTCGTCTAAGCCTTGCGCAGGCACAGGTGGAGGCACGCCAACAACACATAACAAATCGCCATTCACCAGCTTGCCGTACGCAGCTCTCTCAAGCTGGCGAAGCACAGCTTGGTGCAACAGCACTTTGAAGAGGGCCAGCGAGAGAGCAGCGTGCACGAGAGCTCGCGACCCATTTCAACAATGAAAACTGCCATGTTCTTCATATCCCACCCTATGCGTGTCTGAGACTCATGAACATGGCGCTCATGGGTCCTGAAACACCCCTCCAGGGAACAGCTTTCTGACGACCAGAAAGCACACCATCCCAAGAAGAACGAATAGTGGCCCAAGCACGAAAACTCCTACCAGCCGCGTCGTCACAGCAGAGGTTGACTGCGGAAGCATCCAGCACTCCAAACGGGCCGAGGTCGGCCCCCAACTGCCGGCCCAGAGGAACGCAAGAGCATACCAGCGCGACTTTGTCGAGAGCAACGCGCCCCAGCATCTGCCTAATACCAGCCAGGAGCAGAGAAGCCATGTTCACGATTGCCGACCTAACATACGAACGAGGGCCAATGGCCGAGATGCTGGCATCGCCGATGTAGGCGTCGAACGTCGAAAACTCCGAAGGCTCCCGATCGATGCGGTGGAAGTTAACCGAGTGAAGGGCCGTGTCTAAAGCATTTAGCGCATGCGCCCTGATTAGCGTAGTAGCCCTGCTACATCCCGCGATGGCGCCGTGCGTGGCCCACAAAGGGCCTGAAAGTATCCCAGAGAGGCAGACGTGTCTGGCCGACTTGCAGGCGCCAAGCACAGGTGGAGCACCCCCGGGGGCACTGATGCCCGAGACCACGAGGCTCCAAGGCCTCCAAGTCCATCAACTCATGGTACGTGTACATGTCCCACAGGACAGTGGCCGAGCAAGCTCCTCCCATGACCCCAGCTTCCGACCCGAACGCCTGACGCCAACCGCTGCCCAGAGCCCCACGGTGCTTCCCCGCGGCCCAGTCGCCCGTGGAAAAAACAAACTTCCCAGACCTCAGCCAAAGGCCGACGGGCCTGCCCCCAGAGGCGGTACACCGAGGGGAAGATGCCGATGGGGCGAAACAAACCCCTCTTCCTTGGCCAGGAGGGCCACCAAGACGGCCGAAAGCTGGGACGGCAAGATGCCCGAACGCTCGGCAAGAGACAAGAGAAGGCTGAGCACCTCCAAGCTGGCATCGCTGAGGTGCTGGAAGTGCCTAATGTGAAACACGACATATGAAACAGCGCTCCTCCCAGGGTACTTCCTGCTCAATTTCCGAAGCTGGTCCACATCCAGGGGAGGAAGGGCCACATACTGCTTACACCTGATCTAGGGGGGGGAGGCCCTGACCTGCCAGAGGCCCGCAAACGTTTTGACCTCAGCATCGAGAAGATGCTGGGGATCCGAAACAAGGTGCCCCTCGGACGACACGGTGGTCGTAGGGCCCAAAGCGAGCCTTTTGATGGCACAATGAGCGTGGCGAGCACCCTGGCGGAGCTTCTCCGTTATCCAAGCGTGTCAGTCCTGACCAGCAACTCGTTGGTAGTGTTTAGTGCACGCAGCCAGCACCTCTTTCTGGCGAGCAAGAAGGGCCTCCAGACTATCAAGCTTGGCAGCTAACAGGACAGAGGGGCCATCCACGCCGAACCCAGAGGAAGCGCCAGCGACGTACGAAGAATCGCCTCCCTCCACACTGGGGGAGGAGATGCGCTCTGAGACCAATGACTCCGAACAAAAATCCGACGCAATGTGGGGATGAGGATTGAAACTGGCCAAGTCCTTGAGCAAGTCCCTGATCTCCTGAAGAAGACTAACATTATCTGGATGAACCAGCTGACGAGGGACCCACTCAGACTGGAGCAAACTGTCGACCAGCTCGCCAACCATGCACAGAGTGTCGCTGGAGGCGTGGCCCGCCCAGACAGTACGTTTGCGTTGTGGATGCCATGACAATGGACACCCTGACAGTCCCATCATCGAACCAAAAAGGTGTTTAAAATGCCGGAGCAATGTCCTGAACATGTTCAAAAACATATATATATATATATGTATTTATATATATATGTATATATATATATATATAACATTGTTAACACATTTTCTGCACATCTGGCAATCATTTGGCAACACGCTTCCTCTCCATTGATCGTCCTCCACAATGTTTGCGTCTGTGTGCTCTCTCTCTCTCCCCCCCCTGGACGAGGGCCCGACAGACGGGCGGCCGAGACGCCGGGCAGCGGCGGCGGCCGCCAGCGGCGGGCGTAGGGCGGGGGCGGCCTCGGGGGTGGTCCAGCTCCTGGAGGCAAGAGAAATGTCGAGGATTCGAGTGGGGGATCGACTACAGAGCTGATCCTACCTCAGAACTGATCTCTTCGTCGGAGTTGCGAGGGGAGTGCGCAGAAGGCTCGTATAGGCCTGCGGGACCTTTTTGGCGCATGTTCCGTCGATTCGACGAGGAGATCATTTGGGGAGCGTCAGTTTTCTAGTCGATCCCCTACTCGAAAAGATTATGCACCAGGGCT